AGAGAGAGAGAGAGTATGTGTAAGGATTTAAAGGGCTAGAACATTTCAGATGATGGGGTGTTAGTTGACATTTGTGGATCTGATACTCAGAGTTACAGATTCCAAAATAACCAATATCCCCCCAGAATTTATTGCCTCAAAAAGAGGAGAGCAATGAGAAGAAATTGAGGCTTAAAAGTGATTGTCAAATGCAAAATCCAAAGAACCTTAAGTTTCCTACCTTCTGAGCCAACCCAGGCTAGGAAGAACCTTTCATAGCTCCTGTTCAAGAGACTGCCTCTCCACATTTAGTAGATACACTATTTTCTTCATGCTCATGCTTCTACCCCAGAATTCCACTCAAATATCTGCTTCTTTCTAGATACCTTGGATTGGTAGATCTGGAACAAAGTTTTCCCTCTCTCGAAATCAGTGAAATATACTGTACTGTATCATGTCTCTCAACCATTTTCCTCTTTTCCCCAAACAAAGAGGACAGAGAACCAGATACAGAAATATGGTTCTTTAATTAATATTTCTTTTTTGGTGGGAAGACAGGTTTCCAGGCTTCTAAAAGATTTCCTTAAACTGATAGAAATGTGTTGGCCCTCTCTTACAAAGGTCTTTCCCTGGGGCTTTTGATGTTTTTGCTGAGTTCATTATGAATGGAGCAAAGTGAAAATACTGAGAATCAGGAGACAGAGCTTCAAGGGTTTTAAGAAGGATAGACTTTAGCTATTTCAAGGGGCCTGAGTATCTGGGTCTGGGAGAAGAGGTCATTTTCTGACTCAATTATCTAAACTCCTCAGAGAAAGGCCTTTGGAGCAGGATCATTAAGACACAGAGCTAGCTATCAAGAAATCAACCAATAACAAATGCTGGTGGGGGTGTGGAGAGAAAGGAACCCTTTTCCATTGTGGGTGGGAGTGCAGACTGGTGCGACCACTATGGAAATCAGTGTGGAGATACCTCAAAGAAATAGGGCTGGAGGTCCTATTTGACCCAGCTATTCCCCTGCTGGGTATTTTCCCAAAAGAATTAAAAGAATCGTACCACAGAGATATATGTGTACCCATGTTTATAGCGGCACAGTTTATAATAGCTAAAGCTTGGCAATAGCCCAAATGCCCATCAACTGGAAACTGGTTAAAGAAGATGTGATTTTTTAATAAAATGGAGTACTACTGAGCCATAAAGAACAAGAAACTAGAGTCATTTATAGCTAAATGGGTGCATATTGAGGCCATACTCTTAAGTGAAATAAATAGGACACACATGTAAATACTGAATAGCTTCTCTAGTGCGAGAAACTGAAAGTGTAATTAAGGATTAAAAGGATTAATAACTAATAATTGATACTTTGAAATAGGAAAAGGTCCAAAGGGGTAGGGGTGGTGGGAGGAGATGGGGAAAGGAAAGAATGGAAAGGAAAAATTATGAGAAAAGAAAAAAAATGGAAATGAAGTCTATGTAAATAGGGAAAGGGGGAGGGGTGAAGGGTGCACAGGTAATGGGGAAAAAATAGGAACCAAGATACATCCTGTACAGGTACAAGCACCCAATGATAAATGTAAACGTATTGTATACTTATAATGTACCAATAAAAGAATTTAAACAAAAAAAAAAGACACAAAGCTAGCTTCAGGTGCCTCTGAAATTGGAACTGGAAAAAATGCGCAGCAGCCTTCCTTTTGCAATAGAATGGAAGCTATAAATGTTATTTTGAGGATGGACATCTAGGGGTAAATGCAAAAGTAGAGCTTGAAAGGCTTTGGAATTAGAGCTATAGCACCCCTTTCACAAGATATCTGTTGAGGAATAATGAAAAGAAGAGGGTTTCTGTTCTTAGGCAAGACTGTCCGCCAGAGGGGCAACTGAAGAGCTAGTCACACATATAAAAAGCATTACAAGTGCAGTTATACAGGTACAGTCAAACATGTGACTGGAGAGCTGAGACATCTTATGGGGAAGGAGGAGTTGTCCTTGTCTTCACGTACACTGTGCTTAACATTTCCATATGTTATGTCCATGTCTCACAAAATCCTTACAAATACGTATTATTAAACCAAAGATACCTATGAGGAAACTATCAATCACGGAAATTAATTAATTTTATCCAAGATGACACAAGTACTAGGTGGCCAGATAAAATTACTGTTCAGATCTTTCTAGTTGCCAAAGCCTCTCTAATTATTGCATGCTGCCTAACACAATTTAAAATTCCAATATAATCTTGGTGTCAAGCTTTTGTGTAGAGGTCAAGACTAATACCTCCAATTTGGCAGCCCAGTCAAGTGCAAGAGAATGAGCAAGTCTGAATGCCCAGTGGAGATTCTGGAGGTATCAGGAGGAAGAGAAAGATCAAGAGTCCCCTTAGGCCATTTGGAAGAGGTTCCCAATGTGCTCTCTTATCCTTTTGAGGTGTACATTTAGGCAGATTTTCCTTCTACAAGAAAAGTCAACAGTAGCTGCAAATATCACATATGATGATTATGCCTTCAGGAGATAGCACATGTTGTTCTTCCTGGTTTTATAAATCAAACAATGTCCTTGTGTCCAAGGTCAATTTAATCCGCCTGTCTCTACCTGTCTGACATTTCGGTTTCACTCATGTGAAACAATGGTTGATCAATTTCTATTTGGTAGCCAGGCACTTCCTTGATAAAAGTCTCCCTCCTTCTTTCTCCAGACATCTCTCTTCTTGTAGTGACTATAAGGGAGTGTTTCTCAGAAACTTTTCCTGAGCAATTCTTCAGGGCCCTGGCTCTGTTAGTGAGTGTTGGTTTTTTTGTTTGTTTGTTTTTTTACTGAAACCACTACTTGTTCAGGAGCCTCATCTGTCTGAGTTATATACACAGGGAGCTCACTCACATTTTCCTTATAAATATCTGCTTCCCAGACCTGGGCACATTTTTGAGAGAACTTGGAGAAATAATTGATTTCAGAGCTATGGTGTTTCTGCCCATGTTCATCATTCTACATTTTCTAGGTGACATTTCACCTTGATTTGCGCTGAGCTTTCCCAGGTTTAACAATGGGAATCTTGTGTCCTAGGAGACCCCTCAGAACTGGACAAATCACGAAGACTGATCACTAGAATTCTCTTTCTGTTTCAGCTTCTACACTAAAATATTCTTCTGCACTCAGATTAATTTCCAGTGGCCTATATTGATCTGGGCAATAATTCACCACAGATTTGTTCTCTCTGTCAGGGATATATTTTTTAAAAAATTTCCATTAGAATCTTCATTATCATGGGCTTTCAACTTAAGATGGGAAATTTGGCTCACTTGTTCACTTTTCTCCTCTTCATAAAATGAATAGAACAGAAACAAAATCAAAACAACAACAGCAACAATAAAACTCACAACACAACAAAAAAGAGAAGAATCAATTTATTATAGGGACCTTCTTCTATCTCCCTTTTCTTCCCAATCCTATGAACACTTTTAGAAATAATTACATACGCACTTTTCTATTTATACTATTTCCTGCTATAAATTTACTTTGGTGCTGAAATATCTCCATGTTTAGCAGTGACTTCATTCCTGAGTTCCTAACCCTCATTCAAATGGTCTGTTGCTCACTTCCATTTGATTGTCCCATTAACACTTTAAATCAGTCTATTCAAAACATATTTTTACTTAATAATCTGTTCCCTTGTTGCTTCCACCATTTCCTCAGTCTATCAGGTATGAAAACTAGAGTCCTCTTCTTGGGATGGAACAAAATGGAGTGATGGATCAATCATCCACCACTTCACATGGAGATTTTCTCCACTCCATCCCTATCCTTCTTTCATTTTCTTGTTGACCACATTATTTCACCTTCAAGACTTTTCTTTGTGGTAGCTGTAATAGCTTCCTATTTGTTGTCTCTATTTTCTCTTCCTTTCAATTCAAATAATCTGAAGAACTACTTTAAATTAGCCTTTCTTAATTGCAGAACTTCTCTCTCAAAAAAATCTTTCAACAGCTCTCTGCCTAGAGAGGTGAGTAAAAATTCCTCAATCTGGAATTCAAGGCTTCCTACCAATTCACATTTACAGATGTGCCTCCTACTACTTTCCTATATATACTTCCTAGATTCAGTGGGTTTCCAGTGTGCCTTAAAGATGCCCTTGGGATAGAGCTTGTTCCAAACTACCACAATGACTTCTTAGAATTCAGGCTTCCAGCCATTAACCTTAAAAGCACTCCTTGGGATGTGCTTTATAATAATCCTTTCCATAGACAGTATTTTCTAATCCTCAATTAATATTATAAAGTAACTCTTCAACTCTCAAGTGTATCTTGATGAACCTATTCTATTTCACTTTTTTATTACAGTTTTCTGCCTACTTGTGCTCATATTCTAATGAAAAACAAAGTTCCTAGGGGACTAACTTCTGTAGCACCCAACAGTGTTTTGCATATCAGAATAAGCAATAAACAATTGATCACTTGAGTATTGAAATGTGGAGAGAACAGAAAGGATCTGGGTGGGGGGTTGGTTAAGGATGTGATGAAGGCGTGAGAAAAGATGTGGGAAGACCAGTGTGGCTAGAACAAAGGATTTCCAAATGAAAATGCTGGAAAATAAGTGTTGCAAAAGTAAATTGGAGACATATGGCAAAGTGCTGGTCTGGCTCAAACCAGCCATTCATACTGCAGTGATCTACTATGAGGGACTGCTGGTCACCCCATTTAAACTTCATGACAATATCCTGTGGAGAATTAGATAGAACCATGTTTCTAAGGTCAAGACACTAAGTGAAGAATAGGCAGCCTTTGAGTATGGTTATTTTTACAGTGGACTATTGCTTCATATTCTATCACGTCTAAGGGCAAAACACAATTATTTGCACTTTATTTGGCTTTGGGATCTATGGTCAGGAACTAATGATTGGTGAAAATACCCAAGACCAATACTGATAACTATTACTGATAATAGAATGACTTTAATGGAAGAACATGTATAGACTATTAATTATATTATATCAAAATAGAATGCCAATAGTGGTAGAATAATTTCCTGAAGGTAAGAAAACTGAAAGAAAAATTAAAATGAAACTGCTCCATATTACTTTTTTTTGCCTCTAGTTTTTGGCAGATGGGAGAATTCAACATTATTCAATGAATAAATGAATATACTCAAGGGATCTGAGAGAATGAAGAAGGCCCTACACACTGAAAACTTTGGCATTTGAATCAAGGAAGTCACCACATTTTATGCAGCATTGTCAGGTGACTTGTGAAGAATCACCCTGAGTTTGAAGCTCTGATTCTCTATCTCTCCAGCTGGGATCTCAGAATAAACTATAAGTGATCAATTTTAGGATGCAGAAAAGAAGAGATGCAGTCTACTCCAAACTACACAACTTACCAAGGCACTGGGGAAATGAAAGATTATTCCAGAAAATTGTCCCAGTACTGCAGAACCTGACATTGCAATTATTCTGGGCATGATCTTGTTGTAGCTTCCAGGAATTGGCAGAGTAAATGTCACCTGGTCAGGGGACCTTTCTGATCTCTGGCAAATCTTAGAGAAGGGTGAGAGGACAGGAAAGCATGTGTATCATAACTGTAGTGACTGCCAACTTTTGGAAGTAGAAGAATGGCCCCGAGACAAGATGACCTGTAGCACATACAGAAATATGAGGAGACAAGTAGGAGAAGGAGATGTGTATGGAACCGGGTTCCTCAGCTTCTTGAGGGTAGCCAAAGTTTCTATAGTACCAGGGATGAGAATCTGAGAAAAAAAACCACTTTCTTGATGTCAAGATGTTGAGCCATGACTCTCCTTCACTGTGTAGACTTACCTCTGGGTCCCTCCTACTCCAGATGGGGGTCTCCTCCACAGCTGGAGAGAAGAATTGTGAGACCAGCTAGCTAATCTCTTAAAGAAATCATAGTTCCTTCATAGGCCGAAACACCACATACCTGGTGTATCACCTATAGGGTGATGCCAAAGGGTGTGGAGAAGAGGATGAGTGGATAGGTTTAGTAGCTCATCAGGGATGTATGTAAAGACAGCATAGCGCAATGGGAATTTATTTTCCATTTGACATGATATGTATAAATGTTGATAGTGAGACATTGGACAAGAGTCTGGGAATGATGTGTGTGTACAGGTGTGTGCAATCTCACATGTGAACTGGGTGCTGGTGATCACAGTCTGACATGTATGTGCACTGGTGTTTCTGATATAAGTTAGTGTGTTTCTGCAAATGGCTCCGTGAGTTCTACTCCATGGGTGCTGAATGGGAGCATCGTAAGAACTGGCTATCTGTTGCTTTGCTTCATTTTCATATGATGTTCTTGGAAATCTTAGTCCAGGGTCAATATTTGGCTACAGGCCCATGGTAAAAAACCTTCAGCTTAATCCCTTATGAGGTTAGGGGAATCCTCAGGTATTGTTTTTGATGATTTGGGGGGCATAATTTTGGGGCTAGAATAGCCTCAGCAGGACTGGGCTACCCAAGTGTACCAAAGAAGGACCTATTTCTCTAAACTGTTGAGGGGGTACTGTATGGAACATAACCCTTCTCCAGTAATTGTCTAACTAAGCAGATGATCCACATGAAAAAGTACTCTGCAGTCCTAATCTTCTGACCATATTAGGAACTGAGACAGAGTGAGGTCTTTCACTGAGTATTGAAGGAACAGGCTCTGAACCAAATAGGGAGAAATCCAAATGGGGATGAGCATGTAAGAGGGTGCTGACTGTTAAAGTGAGTTGCCCCAGGATTACTGTATAAGACAGAACTAATATAACCATGAGTTAAGAGAGTCCAGGAATTGTAGTGAGAATCTGTACCATCACATACCATCCTACCTTCTCCATTTTCTCATTCCTGATCCTACAATATGGAATGCTTGCATTTTGGAACAGAAAGATGTGGGTATGCGGGAATAAACTTGTTCCTTTCTTTGATGCAATACCTTTTGTTTTTTTGACAATGTGTACCTAAGGTGTAGGGGGGTCATGTGAGTGTGATGTCAGAGATCATCTGGCTACATGACTGATGCTGTTAAATCTAGGACTTCATTAATCCCCAGACCACAGGAAATCAATCATCTCTTCCCTGGCAATCCACTAAAAGATGGTTCTTGATATGTTTGCACATTATAATTGCCTAGGGAGCCTCACCTTGAACCAATTATATCAGAATTTTTGGGCATCCTGCATGACTGTTTAGAAATATTCTAGAAATAGTTGCAATAGGCAGCAAGGGTGTGAAACATTGCAATTTTGGAACCCATCATCCCAGAAACATGAATCTAACATATTCAACCAGGCACTGAGATATTGAAAGAAGAATAATCACACTTTCATATGAAACTTTCTTGATATTCAGTGGGCATATCTGAAAATCGTGAATTGGAACAATGAGATTTTCTCTCTCAGGGATTTGCCAAGAAACACAGAGGCCATGGTGCATGTTTGATCTGAAAGTTTGGATAGGTTGGGGCAAGGTGGTCACTCTGAAGTTTTGGCTACACAGCTCTATAAAGAGGAAAGATGAGAGTAGCTAAAAGGGGGAAAAGTGATGCGGGAGGGTTATGTGTATGCTGGACAAGGGGATGATGCCAGAGGTGCCTTGATTCCCGACTTTGCTGAATTCTATATTCAGATCCTGTTTCAACTAGAAGGACTCTCACCAGAACTCTAATTTAGAACCCTAAACAAGGAAGCCAAAGCACTTAATGGGTTTGTTTCTTTCATGTCTCCAAGCCTGGTATATACCTATCTACCTGCTTTAAATGCACTCATTCTCCTTTCTGTCACTCAAATGCCAACTTCCTATTAAAGGTAGAGAAAGAGCATTATCTGAGGTTAGACATTTGGTGTAAAAGCAGACCCAGATGTGCATGTGAGAAAGAATGCCCAAGGGCTATCTGAAGTGAAAGAAAAGGTAGGAGAGGGAGGCAATGGTTTATAGGTAGCTGGTCTGTGGAACAAGAAAGTAGATTTCTCAGGTCATTCTTGATTGTGGCCCTTGCAAGTAGAAGCAGATTTTTGAGGGTATTTTAGGAAAAAAGCAGACACTATGGTTCTAAGATACTAGTACAGTTGGATCATAATATCAATTTCTTATCCTATAACTTGTACTTTTAATGCCTGAACCTAAATTTTCTAAGCTAAAGCTGCTTTTGCCTTAAATTCTTGAATTTTTCATTTAGTCTGAGTGCCTTTCCAAAATAATGTTCCTAATAATGTTATGAGGCTCTCATCATTCAGACATTATTTTCCCATAATAAGTGTTTAGCATTCTTTTGGGAGAATGCAGCTCCTTCATGACAATTTCACTGTCAGAATGTACAATATATGGCAATAATGATGCTTCTCCTCTGTAGATATACTACCATGAGCTGACAGCTAAGAGCTGCAGAGGGACTGGCAAAACTCTGCCTCTGCAGGAGATGCTGGGACTTGTTTGCAGTGAGGAAAATCCTTAAGGAGTGCTTTATTCTCATTATTGGCAATTTAATTTTCTAGATTTCTAAGACTGATAATGTACTGGCTCCTTTATTAATTCTCATTAATTTATAATTTTCTGATAATTGCAGTTTCTTCCTTCATCTCAACCTCAATCAAGATGTTAAAGTAGGTGTAATTCTTGTGCAATCTAGTCCTTAAGTGCTGAATAGCAGATCAAAATGAAATGACATTAGCCATTAGGATTCTTAGGATAATGGAAAGGGACTGGCACATTTTTTGAATGCATAGTCAGATGGGGAGTTCAGGAGGATGTGATACAGTGTTTCTAGGAGGTAAAAGTGACCACGCAGCAGTTCCAGGGAAGGAGCTTCTCGTGATAATGAAGAGAAGCAAATTTTCTTGACAGGAACAGAGATTGTAATTGGCAACATGAGATGGGAGCAAGGATGAGCCCTGCTCTTGGGTCAGTAGCTGGGAAGGACACAGTTCTAACAGAACTCCAACAGAGAGAAGTTTGTATGCTTCATTTGAGTCAATAAAGAACTTAAGTCTGTTTTGAGTTGTTGAGCTGTTGATGGCGACATATCTTGAGGTCACTTGGAGATAGATGGAGGAAAAACATCTGCTATCTCAGCCTTGGGGCCAAACCAACCATGGTGGGTAAAAAGTCCAGCACCATAAGAGAATGGTGGAGTCGCACATGCGCGCGTGTGTGTGTACATGCATGTGTGCACACATGTGCATAGATTGATGAGGAAAGGACTGCTGTTAGAGGAGGATTATTGTTTCAGAAGAAGGGATTACATAATGGTGTAAGACATCTTAAAGGAAATCATTGCCTTCTACTTATTTTTGTAGGTTATAAATTCACAAGGAGGTAGACTAATTAGTCCCATGAGATCCAGAGCACAAAACCGCTGCACACTCGTGGGTCCATCACCAAAGTTCCCAAACTCTCCAAAATTCTTTTATCATTCCACTCACCTGCTTTATTAAGTATTCCCCTGCAAGCAGCCCAGTGATTGACCAAACCATCTCCAAACTGCCCCAAATCCAAGGTTCTCATTGGTTCAGATTTTCACCCCGCTGGCACTGGGGAATTTTCTGTTGCCTATACAATAAGAAAGGATTGTTTTCTTTTCCTAACTTAGCCTGTGGTTTTTTATCTACATTTTATGGAACCATCTGCCAATCTCCAGGAAGTAAGTTAAGCTCAAAACCTGCTCATGGGCAGAACAGCATAAGGAAATACAGGCAGATTTACATACACTTGACATCAATTATAATGCTTCATCTTTATTAAGGACAAGCTTTGAGTGGTGGCAGTCACTGGATGACTTCCTGATTTCACTCTCCCTTTAGCATGGTTTGTTGTCATTATTTTCTTGGTTAGGACCTCTCTTTGCCTCATACTCAGGAAGAGCCCATTTACTTGCTCAGGTTATTGCTCTTTCTGTGCCTGTCAATCTCTCTCCTAGCCTTTTTGTCCCTCAAACTTATGGGGAAAATATGTTTATTCTATCAGAAGTGCATATCCATCCATGAACTCTGCCTCGGACTCTGCTGGGTGGCCTCTTTTATACCCTGGGATCATATGTTCAGTCACTTCTGTTGTCTAGCTAAGATTCCTTACTCAGCTCACATTAGAATTTCTTTGGTGGTTTTCTTCATATCATCTCCCACCCTGTCTTTGGTGTTTTTCTCTTGGAAAACATTTTTATTTCATGCAGCTCAACTACTATTACTATTTATTACTTCATAAATCAAGCATCTTAAAAACAATTCCCACATTCTCACTTCT